AAGCTAGCTGCCACTATTTTTGCCATACTAATGGTTACACTATTGTGTCCCCCTGCTGTACTGTTCCATGTGCAGAACATGATTGTGCAATGAACAGGCTTTACTGATGGTTACGTCGCTGAAGGTTAGACATCCAGGTAATACAATACACCAAAAAGCAGTTACTCAAGCAACTGGATATGATTTTGAAAACGTCAGACGTGTCAGCTAGTATCCACTAGCTTTCGTCAGTGATTTAGAGACCAGAGAGGAAATGCGGGTTTATAAGCACAACCTATTTATTGATATGTCTCTCAGTCACTGACGAAAGCTAGTGGATACTAGCTGAAACGTCTGACGTTTTCAAAATCATATCCAGTTGCTTGAGTAACTGCTTTTTGGCGTATTAACTGATGGTTCTGTTGTTATGTTCCCAGCTGTTCTATGCCATGCAGCAGGAGAAACAGGCACAGCAGGCCCAGAGCAGGGGAACACCTGTGTCACTAGATCGCAGTCTGGTAGGTTTGTTTTTACTTTTATTTACTAACTATAGTGATGATGGCATTGACAAGTCACTGAAATACACAACATTGTAATGTGTAATTTATATAGTCATACATATGGAAAATTAAATTTTTCTAAAATTAATCTGTATCTATAAAAAGTGTGGCAAGTGCGATAATGGCAGAAAATGTTTGTTGTAAGTTGATGTGAATCTTAAGCAGAATTTGATGGTGTTGAAACTGTATCTGTCTTGCCATTATAGGATCTACTTGGAGAATAACACCCATCCAATCCGCCAATTTGTAATTTTTTTTGTAAAATATGAAGTGACAGAATGTGTCTTTATTTTGAATGTGTCAAAAGTAATTTTCATTGTTTCCCTTGTTGTTCACAGTTTGTGCTGGACCCAAGCAGACTGGAGGGGGGTGCACAGTACCTGGAAGAGCCGGAGGGGCACTGGGGCATCACATCTGAAGAAAGGTGGGAAAACTTCAGGGATGAACATTAGAGGATTCACATAGTAGCATGCCATGTAGTCATGGGTTTGAGTCCTGACCTCTTTTTTTACATATTCCAACATGTAATCACAAGACGTGGTGACGGCACACTCAAGTTTTTTCAACTTATATCAATGCCGCCACCAACACAAGGGACAATACAGGGGACAATACAATACTCATTTACACCTGAGTTAAGTGAGGAAAGCCGTGTAAATTACCTTTCCCAAGGGCACAAGATCGGTGGCATGTCAGGACTTGAACCCGGGACCTCTTGGTTCCAAGGTGAGCTACACCACACAACCCCACAATCCCAGCTGTTCTTTCTAACCCACTTTGGTGTAAGTCAATAGATTTGAATTTAGACTAATCCAAGTGTGTTTTCTTCCAACAGTAACTGTAATTTGTGTCTGTGTTTTTTCATAAAAAGGTGTTAGATGGTTTGTGGTACATGTACCTACAGTGAAATCTGCACTAGTGGCCATTTCTAAATGATGACAGCCTAGCCTAATATTGTGGCCAATTTTTGTGGTCCTTTAGATTATCTTTTCAGTTAACTCAAGCATGAAGAACCCAGTGTTATAATTGGTCATCTATAATATGTACATGTATCTGCTGTGAGCATATTTTTCAATTGTCTTCTAGACAGATTTGAAATTAGTAGTCATTTTCTATCTCCCCTCCCAGTTCCTGTGCTGTGTGTACTCTGCTGCTGAGTGAAACCGTCTCAACCTCTGACCCAGGGGTCATCGTCTTTCCCTGTGGTAAGGAACTCTTGTTTGTAAAATTGTACACAAACACATTTAGGTTTGCAAAAACAAGCCAACTTGTTTAAAGAAAAATTTACTTCACTTTAATTTTGATTTGATTTTTTTATTTTATTGAAATTGCAACAATGCAATACATGTGGAACAGAGGCAGCTTTAAACATTTTTTTAGGTATTTTGTAAGGCTTTTGGTTTTTTCATTTTTTTTTTTTTTGTTGACTGACAGTATACCTGAAAAGGGCCCAAATAAGCCTTAGTTGGAGAGTACAGTTGACGGATGAATGTGTTCTGTTCTTACATGCTATATCTTAAGTCTTTGATACCATGTCGATATTTCCATTTCTGTAATTATAATTGTATAACCAGTTTGTATTGAATGTTTGAATGTGTTTTCCAGGTCATGCCTTCCACACACACTGTGCACCTCACAGGGGCTGTCTGCTGTGTTACGTGTCCAGTCAGAAGTGATTTTTTACTCTCTTCACCACACTGAAGTAGCCGTTTGGCTACCGATTCTCTATTTAGTTACAGGGTTAGGCAACAGGGAAAAGATTGGTATAAGGGTTTCAAATTAAGATGTCACTTTTTTATGAAAGGTTGGCAATAAAATGAGATCTTGATGAAAATGGGAATTTGATAAATCTGGGGGCAGTTTACTAGGTACACCTTTATATAAGACGGTCAAAAACTGCTTTTTTTAGACACTTTTTCAAGATTTTAAAAGGATATTCTTCAAAAGGGCAATACCAATAAAAGTCTAAGATAAGATTCTGAGGTTCTAATAATAATTCAAAGTGGTGTGTACATTTTCAGCTCCTTTTATAGCTAATATGAAGCTACATTTGTGTAGCTAATTTGATATCAGAAAAGATTGGAGAAGGAAACATAATCATGATCGTATTGAAAAAGATAGTGTCAAATTTTGCATAATGACCATGAGTTTGAAATTGAGAAATGTTTCATTAAAAGTTCCTAGACAGTAGTAATCTGTAATGAAGTGATATATTTTCCCACAATTGTGACAATTTTTGTGTAAATAACTAGTTAAACTGATAATTATTGATTAATTATGAACTTGCTCGTGTCTATAAACAGGTTGATTATGACTGTATCAGGTATGTAATGGTGCTCACCCCATTTCGTTCAAAATCATTGAATATTTTACTTTTGAACTTAATACTTTTTTTTTGCTATCATGCAAAAGCAATGCAATATAGTGATAGTTGTTTCTCAGTCCTGCAACAGAATAATAATTATATTGTAAGGAAGATTTTAGTGCTTGTTTCAACTTGTGGATAGAAATGGACAAATGCCATAATATTGTCTTCTGCCAGCTTAATCATTCAAATTACAGATCAAAAGACATTTTTCAACAATATTTAAATAGTCTAATCTTTCACTTTGACAGGATAACTACAATGTATTGTATTTAGTAATGGATAAGGTTGCATACATTGTAAATGTTCCTATGGGGCCCATTCTAGACTGTTGTTATCTGTGGATTCATTTCAATAGCTGTGAATAGTCTTTTTTTCTGACACAAACTCATAGACTAGTCTTGATATATTACCTCTTAAAATTGAAGTTAAATGTAATCTGAAATATGATTTGCATGTATTAGAGCTGTTTCATGAAATGTCTACATTTTAGAAAAGTTACTAAGAAAAATCTGTCAAAATGATTAATGCTAAAACTGCTGTTGCTGCTCACTGTTTTTGTTTATTTAGAAGATCACAAACTAGATATATTTACCGATACTTCAGAACAAAATTTAAAAAACTGCATTTAAGTTGTTCATATGCATGAATAACATTCATGATTCATGAATGGCAGATTTTGAACAGATGAAACTGCCGTCTTATTATTTAAACAAAACTCTCTTGCCTTGTGTCCACCTTTAGATAAAGACGTAACAGACAATGTAACTGCATACTTTGTGAATTTAATTTCATTATGTGCCAAAGTGATGTTTTATGTTTAATGTGCAATGATTTGAATCTTGGTATTATCTTAAAATGCATCGTTCTCATGATAAGTTATTTTATTTGCGCTCTTGAATACACATGAATCTCGGTGATACTACTCCAGTCATTTTGCATTTATTACCTTGTTGACTAAGGTATTGTTGTTTGTGTGTGTGTGGGGGGGGGGGGGGCTATGTTTCTGGCCAGCTTTGGTAGCATAAGTCATAAACCTGTGATGACGATTGGTATGTGGGTAATTAATTTATTTTCTTGGAATTTTCACAAAATTACCATTAATAAGAAATCATGAAGAGAGCCAATGCACCACTCGATGTATTTGGCATTATGACCACAAACTGAACTGTTTTTTTATGCCGGTTTACAAATGTATTATCACTGATTAGAGTCAGTGTTGGAACGCTGTCGTAAGACGCGTGTCAGCCTTGGGCCGCTTGTGGCGCCTGGAAGGTCCCGGCTCTGACGTCACTCTGCGCTGCAGGAGAAAGATGCCGCCCCCCTCTCCCTGCAGTACATGCCCACCGGACAGGAGGCGCTGCTGCACGAGTAGGCGCTCCTTCGGACGATGGGGTTCGGATCTAGATGTAGATGGTCAGGCAAGATTTTGTCACGGTTAGTAAGGATCATCAAATAAAGATGGAAAAAAAAGACAGGTAAAATCAGCATATATGTCCTAAGCAGAGGCATATTTGGGGATTGCAATAGGCTGAGATTCCTTTCATCTACCTTCCTCCAAAATGCATGAAAGAAACCAACCAACCAAAGCCTCAGTGCTTAGATAAAATACGACAGCCATGCTGAAGTGCCACGTACCGTAACATTCGAAGGAGGAAATGTCATCTCGGCAGGACCAGCCGAACGGACACTGGACCTCAGGATGGGTGCACCAGTCCGTGTCTTTAAACATATATAAACATAAAAGGCAGGAAACATTAATGGCCTGACTGCATCACGCTTCTAGCAGCCCTTCCACTGGGCAGGTCCCTAGAGGCTTGATGTCCAACACACTTCTAAGTAAGGATCAGTAAGGAGAATTGGGAACATCGTAATCCTGTTGATTATGCAATATATATGGGCCATCATAGACCAACTATTGTCAGACTGATTGTTTAGTACCATTGTGTTGGAGGCTGTGATGACTTGTTTCCATAGTGACAGAGAATGCTGTGCTCCTATTGGACTAACTGTCCTGGTAATAAAGCCACAAGCTCTTGGGGAGAAGGCCGAATCAACCCCTGCCGAGAGATTGTGGAGCACAGGTTAGCAAAATTAGCTTTCTAGAGCTCTGCTCATCAGAGGCAATGCCATATGATCATTGTGCTAATAACGTACTGATAAAAAGGACCACGATACGAACCGAATTCGCAGTGGCCTCCATGGAACCCGGTTGGGCAGCTGCAGCTGTAGGAGTTGATGCCGTCCTGACAGGTTCCGTTATGGTGGCACGGATTGGAGGCGCACTCGTCGATGTCTGTAGCAATGGAAAATGTATATGTGTCAGTTGGGTCTTCATAGGTTATAATTTGCTCGCTATGTGACGTGCTTTTGGGCAGTGTTAATGTGAATTCAACAAAGGCAAGTCTATGTGTACATACAATTCCTGCATGTTTGAAGTTCATTGGGATAAAGAAGTGTATTTTTTTCACAGGTACTCACTTGTTTCACAGAACTCGCCCTCGAACCCTTCAGAACACTGGCATAGGATCGTAGACCCGTTGAAGCAGGAGGTGCAGTTTCCGCCGTTCTGACACACGTTTGGTTCACACGATACCTGAGCTAGAATTGATAGAGATTTGCCACATGTGTGGAATGATTGACATAATTGGCATTATCTTCTCAAGATAACAACTTGACTGTAAGCTTTAAACCACAGAAAGAACTTTTTAATAAGAGGAGCGTGATTGAGGCGAATTACCTCACACACGAGCCTTAGAATCATTAAGTAAGTGTTAATGATACCGCGTACAGTACTTTTTTTAGACAATGAGGAACTCA